TGAACCGCTTTCCACCACCTTCATCAGATGGCTTTCTCGACCACAGCTTTCGCTTCTCTCTTAACTACAAATAGACAAAAATCAGTGAACTCGGGTAGTATCCCCTACTGACCTTGTAACCATTGCATTGCACAAATAATAAAAACCATGCCTGAAAATAAAATATATAAACAATATTACAAAATTATTGTTTTAAACAAAGTAATAATACGAAAAATACATATAATACAAAATTTCAAAAACAAAATAATAATTAAAAACTATGGAAAATCAATTACAGACAAAATAATTTGAAAAAATACTTTTCTTAAAAAATTAAACCTTTTTGCATCGGCTTAGTCGGAGCAATTACAGCTGGTCTTGAGTGGCATTAATCTGGACAAATCCATATTAAAGAATGTAAATGAAAAAATAATAACTTTTTTCACAAAGATAGAAATAGCTAGAAGAGAAATGTACTTTTAATGCTTTGAAATTTGCCTATTAATTTGAGCGGCTTTTGAATCACAATGATTAAATTGATAAATCGGTGATGAGAGAGTCACCTGAATGAGAAGGGAAAATATATTCCCGGTGAAGAAATATTACAAGGCTTATATAGTAGAGCTGCCCACCACAATAGGTGGGGGAGCTTGACACAGCTAAAGACTCTACTTTATTATAACAAACTAATAACAAACTAGCTGACTTAATACCCCCCTTCAAGCTGACGGGGGACAAGATACCACGCCAAGCTTGTGACGGAGATCAGCAAAGCGAACACTCGAGAGTGGTTTGGTGAAGATGTCAGCTAACTGGTCTTGAGTAGACACAAAATTGACCTTGAGAGCACCAGTCGCTACCTTATCCCGGACGAAATGATAGTCCACCTCAATGTGCTTCGTCCTAGCGTGAAAAACCGGATTAGAGCATAAGTATGTCGCTCCGAGATTATCACACCATAACACAGGAACAGTCGAAAGAAGCAACCCAAGCTCACGCAGCAGAGACTGAATCCATGTGACCTCGGCAGCAACATCAGCTAAAGCTTTGTACTCAGCTTCCGTAGAAGACCGAGCGACAGTGCGCTGCTTTTTGGAAGTCCAGGACAGAAGATTAGGACCCAGAAAAACAGCAAAACCTCCGGTTGATCGCCTATCAATAGAGCAACCAGCCCAGTCTGAGTCGGAGAAGGCATGGATAACTGGAGTAGTAGATGGAGAGATGCGCAGACCAATATCCAACGAGCCTTTGACATATCGAAGGACTCGTTTCAACGCCGCCCAGTGACCATGTGTAGGAGTGTGCATGAACTGACACAACCTGTTAACAGAAAAAGCCAAGTCGGGACGGGTGATTAGTAAGTACATCAATGACCCAACCAGTTGACGGTATGGGGTTGGATCATCTAACGCTTCTGAGTCCTCAGCAGGAGGCGACACCGACATCGGAGTGCACAACGGTTTGCAGGAATCCATACCAGCCTTCCGTAACAACTCAGTCATGTACCTCTTCTGGGACAACACTAGGGACTTGTCTACCTCAACAGCCTCAATACCCAGAAAGAACCTAGGCTTGCCAAGATCCCGAATCTTGAAGACCGTGGATAGCCTGTTGAGAATGTCATGAATCACTGCAAGGTTGTTGCCCACGAGAAGTATATCGTCCACATATACTAGCAAGTATATCCGAACGTCCCCGGTATCATAAATGAAAAGTGAGATATCCGTTTTGGAAGGGCGGAACCCGACATGAACCAGGAAATCGTGTAGCCTCGTAAACCAAGCGCGTGGTGCCTGTTTGAGCCCATACAACGATCGCTGCAACTTACACACATGATCGGGATAATTTGGGTTAGTATAACCCGGTGGCTGGCGCATGTAGATATCTTCAGTGACATGCCCATTCAAGAAGGCATTATGTACGTCAAGTTGACGCATTGTCCAGTTCTGGGAGACAGCAAAGGCTAACAACAACCGAATGGTTGTGGGCTTGACTACCGGACTGTAAGTGTCTACGTAGTCTTGCCCTGGTATTTGATTAAACCCCTTAGCTACTAAGCGGGCTTTGTATCGTTCAACTGTACCATCAGACTTCCGCTTGATACGGAAAACCCACTTACAACCGATGACATTCATCCCTGGTTGTGAGGGCACGATGCGCCACGTTTGATTATGCAGCAAAGCATTGAATTCAACATTCATGGCATCACGCCACTGAGGTTGACGAACAGCCTGGGAATGGCACGTGGGTTCGTCGTCGTCCACCGACGCAACCAAGGCAGTGGGACGCTTGCGTTGAGCGTCAGTTGTAGTCCGGAGTCGCATCACATGCGTGCGAACAGTTGGACGTTGTCGACGACGCCTAGTTGATGTCGTGGTTGACGTGGACGGCTGATAGGAGGAAGATGCTGCAGCTGCTGTGGACGAGGATGTGGGCAACGATGTACGTGGCGGACCACCTGTGGTTGGTTGAACATCATTGTTTGTGGCCATCTTAGTAGCTTGAATGTTAACCTGAGCACACGCCCAAGGTTGTACATCCTGTGTAGGAACAGTTGCTAATGCCTTCACCTGTGAGAATGGGAACACCGCCTCATTGAAGCGGACATGCCGGGATATGTAGACACGTCCGGACTGAATGTCAAGACACCGGTAGCCATAGTAGGAGTCCGGGTAACCAAGGAAAACACACGCCTTGGAACGGAAGTCCATTTTGTGTGTGTTGTATGGGCGTAAATGCGGGAAACACTCACACCCAAACACACGTAGTATGGTATAGCTAGGAGCATGACCGTAAAGTAAAGAATACGGACTTTTACCACACGAAACAGGAGATGGAAGGCGATTGATCAAGTGTACTGCCACTTCAAAGGCATAGAACCAGAACTTGTGGGGAACCTGAGCACGGGCTAACAAAGTCAGACCCGTTTCGACCACATGCCGATTCCTGCGTTCCACACGCCCATTTTGTTCGTGTGTATGAGGACACGACTTTTTTGTGGAGTATTCCTGCCGCTGCAAAAACCGTACCTAATTTCATGTATTCAGCACCCATATCGGATTGGACACATTTTATGGGGCGGGAGAACTGTTTCTCCACTAATGCCCGAAACCTGCCAAAGATAGAATAAATGTCCGACTTTAGATGCATGGGATAAATCCACATGAACCTAGAGTAGTCATCGACGAACAACACAAAGTATTTATGGCCATCAACTGTGGGCACAGAGGATGGACCCCAAATATCAGAAAAAACAAGATCCAAAACCGACTCACTAGACTTTTCAATACGTGACAATGAGAAGCGCGCAGACTTGCCCATCTGACACGGAGTACATACGTTATTTAAAGAATTACAAGACCCTACAACTGGACAGGTTGCCAAGACTTGTTTTAAAACTTGAGAGTTGGGGTGACCGAGACGCTCATGCCATGTCCTTGGGGACGCTTTAGCAGACAAGAAAGCAACTGGACTGGAAACATTGAGTTGGTACATCCCACCTGTGCTAGGACCTCTAAGCAGAATCTGCTGGGTGGTACGGTCCTTCACAACAAAAAAACGAGGGTGAAATTCAAAGTACACATCATTATCTTGTGTAAACTTTTGGACAGACAACAGAGACACACGTAGTTCGGGGACATGTAACACATGTTTTAGAAACAGAGACCGAGACGGGGAATTTAATGTAAAGGAACCTGTATTCTTTATAACCAGACCTGTGCCATCTCCTACTTGCAGTGCCTCACCGCCTGAATAGTGTTCTACGCCAGTCAGACTATCAACCGCCGGTGTAGCATGCGCATTGGCTCCCGTATCAGGCAGCCACACATTTGAAAAAGGAGCAGTATTGTGGTCATTTTGTTGCTGCCGGTGTACCATGTTCGCCTGAGGTTGAGTAGAAGCCGAACGAGGGCCGCCGTAGTCGTCGAACCGCCGATAGCAAGTCAGGGCCGTGTGACCGGGTATGTCACATATTTGACAACGCACACCACCTCGGCCACGCTGTCCACGCCCTGGCTGGCCTCTCTGATGCCGGCCGCGACCACGTCCACCGTCGTTGGTGGACCTGTTGTTCGATGGTGCCTGCTGGGCAATCAACACAGCTGGAGAATGGCCGACTGGTGCAGCTTCTTCCGGAAAAAGGTAGCTGTGAGTATTAAGGAGATCAGCTACTTCCGATATGGTCAGGGGAGCACTTTTGGTCATGAGGGAGGCAACGAGTGACCGATATTCTGGCCTGAGACCCCTGAATAGGTGCAGGTTTTGCTCGTCCAGTCCTATCGGCCGACCAGCCAGTGCGAGCTGTTCGACGAGAATTTTGGCACGTCCGAGATACTCGGATGTTGACGAGTTCCCTTGCTGAAGCCCCTGGAGTTGTGTCAGTAAGCTGAGGGTGCGGGAACGCGACGTCGAGCCCAAGGCTGTTTCGACCGAGACCCAAACCGCCCTGGCAGTGTTGTGGCCGATTGCGAGGTATAGTACCTCCTCCGCCATGGACGAGTACAGCATGCTTAGAATGGACTGGTCTTGTTGGACCCAGTCGGCGTGCAGCGGATTCACCACCGGGGTTGCCATCGGCGTGGTCGGGGAAAGCAAAAACTCCGGCGGACACACACTCGTTCCGTCGACAAAGCCATAGAGATTTTGGCCTCTCAAGAACGGGACCAGCTGCGCTCTCCAGAACAGGTAGTTCGTGGCATTCAACTTTAGTGAAACATAGTGATGCGCCTGCTGCAATACACTGGCCGGACGTCGGTCAGGTTGCGCAACTGCTTGGTTCTCTCGTTCGGAGGAGTCGGCGGGAGTGGGGTGGGATGTGACTGTGGGTGGGTTGGCCATTGGATCGTATTTTAGCCTGATACCAAATGAGAAGGGAAAACTCAGGATTCAATATATATTCCCGGTGAAGAAATATTACAAGGCTTATATAGTAGAGCTGCCCACCACAATAGGTGGGGGAGCTTGACACAGCTAAAGACTCTACTTTATTATAACAAACTAATAACAAACTAGCTGACTTAATAACCTGCAAGGGATAAGAGGGATGCAATGTAAAATGAAGACTTATAACTTTTTTAAGCATCAACTGTACTCATTGTATTTATAGGTGAAAAATATGAGAATTATAAAATTGTAAGATTTTTTAAAAGGAAAATGTATTTATTTATTTAAGGTATTGGCATAATCAATTCATTATATTGATATTCATAATCAAGTCATTATATTAATATTTTTAATTAATTTATTCCTAATTAATTCATAATATTGATATTATTAAATTGTCCTTAAGTTTGGGCGGGAAAATGAAATAGGAGGATTTTATATATACTAGTATTTGCGCCCGTGCGATGCACAGAATAGATTTGTTGTAATATATTAAGAATATTTGGATCGATATATAATTATTTAAATTAGAACATCAAATATTATATAGTGCAATTGAAGGTATTGTTTAGATCATTTATGTGTTTTTATGTTATTAATTGCTCAAATTAATAGCTAATATGTAGATGTACGCATGCGGTTCTATAACTTTGGAGATTTTATTTATCATTGTTCAGTTCTTTTATAAATTAGTCAAATGTGCTCGTTCTCTAGCAACTCAGTTATAAAAATGAATTGATATCCTAATTTATTTGTATGGAAAATATATTTTTTGTCTAGATATATAGCAATTTTGCCATTTTAAAAAACATAATATCACATATTGTATTTACATACTATTGAAACCTCTTTGTAGACAACATTGGTAGTAACAACACAATCTTGTCTATCTTCGTCTAGAGCTAACACCTTTAGTCCAAAAGGATGGGTGACTCGGGTGAAAATATATAATGGTATAATTTCAGTCAATTAGTGATCCTTTTATATTTTCAGTCAATTAGTAATATCAGATTCATTTTCAGCCAATTATTCTTTTTTATTTTTAGTCAGTTAGTCAATTAGAATATTAGATGCATTGATATTTTTACATATCCGAACCATTTTTAATTGATGATGTAGAATATTTTTATTGAAGTATTTTCGTTTCATTTTTAGTTTATATTTACTATTGTTTAAAATATGTCTTTACTATTGATGATGTAGAATATTATTATTGAAATATTTCCTTTCCATTTTTTATTTACTTTTACTTGATGATGTAGAATATTATTATTGAAATATTTTCGTTTCATTTTTTAATTTTTGTTTCATTGCTTAAAATTGTGAAAGATTTATGATATAATTGTGATTTGATTTATTCTACTATGTAATATTATTGTGAAAAATTAAAATTCAATAATCTAACAATTTTCTTTTCCATTTTAGTCAATTATAGATCATTTTTTATTTTTAGTCAATTATTAATATTCATTTCCTTTTCCAATTAATCTAATTTCTGTTTCGTTTTTTCATTTTTAATTTTCAGTCAATTATTAATATTCATTTATTTTTTAATTTACCTAATTTTTGTTCCATTTTTAATTGATGATGATGTAGAGAATTATTGTGAAATATTTATGTTCCTTTTTAAATTTACCTTTATTATTTACTATTGTTTGAGCGGGAAATCAAGTAAATAGAATTTTATTTTTAATTATACTAGTAGTTGCACCTATGCGATGCACGGCCATATGTATATTTTAGGGAATATACAGTATGTACTAAAGCTTAAGAAATGTAAAAAATAAAAAATCCCCACCAAATTGAAAATTGATTAAACATTGTTGAAGACTTCTTTGTACACAACATTTGTTGTCTTACTAAGACATGTTACATCTTCTCCGCAAATCAAAACTTTTAAACCCGTAGGGTTACTGACTCTTGAAACAGCTACGTACATTTGGCCATGGTTAAAGACTGGTCTTTTAAAATACAATCCCACTCTTGAGAGCGTTTGTCCTTGACTTTTATTTATTGTCATGGCATAGGATAGCATCAAAGGAAATTGCTTTCGTTGGAATTTGAAAGGCAATCTAGGATCTGACGGTGTTAGTGACATCCTTGGAATCAAAACTGTAGTACCTGCATTTGTACCCCCCATTATTTTTGCCTCCAACACATGATCAGCTAACCTTGTTACAATCAATCTTGTACCATTGCACAAGCCAAGAGTGTGATCAATATTTCTCAAGAGCATAACAGGTGACCCAATTTTCAAAGTCAATGCATGATTAGGTACACTAGAACATCGCAGACCATTTAAGAATTCTGGAGTGTGCAATTCCGCTAACATATCTGCATTAGAATCTGACTTGCAAATTGAATCACAACTCAAATAAGTCCTAGCTTCACTTGGATTTTGATCATTCATGTATTGGTTAATGATATCTACCATATCCAATGTTGGTGCCAATATGGCACTATCCTCAAGGTATGATAAATCACCATTAGCGCTTCTAAACAACGGGAAAATGCTATCAACAATTGTAGAGATAGTATCACCTTCACATTTAAGTAGAAACTTATCTGGAATTGTTAACTCTGCGTCACCATCCGTTGAATTTCCAATTTTCCCGTCACCTATATCTGCTATCCAGTTTGCAAACTCCTCAATCTCTTTGGCCTCTATTTGCGATTTTACACGTCTTAGGCGTAGATTTTTTGTTAGCCTAAATACTTTGCATGATCTCCAAAGGTATGATGAATTTATGCTCGATCCAATAATATCTTGCCTTGTGCCCTTTGGAATAACCGGAAGAATTTGTCTAAAATCGTCACCCAAAACAACTGTTTTACCACCAAATGTCATTTCACAGCTTCTTGGATTTGTGGAGCGCAATAAATCACGCATAGTTCGGTCTAGGGCTTCAAAGCAGAACTTGTGCATCATTGGAGCTTCATCCCATATTATCAACTTGCTTTGCATAATAAGCTCAGCCAACGGGGTGCCTTGTTTTATGTTGCAAGTGGAATCTTCATTAACAGATATAGGTATTGCGAACCTAGAATGTGCTGTACGACCACCTGGTAGCAGAAGAGAAGCTATGCCGCTAGATGCAACATTTAGAACAATTTCACCTTTCCGTCTTAAAGAGGATGAAAGTGCTCTCCACAAGAAGGTCTTACCAGTACCACCATATCCATAAACGAAGAAAAATCCACCAGATTTGCTTTCAATATCTGTTAACACCTCCTCGTATATTACCTTTTGCTCATCTGTCAGTTGACTAACCAAATCGTTATTCTCTTTCTCCTGAATAACATGATCATATGCCAATTCTTCTTGTATCAACCTATTTGATATTAAATTATATGTCTCCAAATCTGCAACTGGCATTTCTGGAAAGTCCTTAAGACTCTTTCCCATTATTGATAACAATTTTTCAATCTCAACCAACGCAAAATTCATCTTCTGATTGTCATTCAACACAGAATCTGCAGTGATTTTAATCATACCGTGAAAATAAAACCAATGGATTTTGCTTGAGTACGTTGTCCTAAAAACAACTAAAAATAAAGTTCAAAAGATATAACCAGAATAGCTTGTGTACCTGAATTTTGCAATTGTTTTCGAAATTGATATTGTGCATCTTCAGACAAATGTTGCCACACAGCATTCCAAACAGCTTCAGGTTTACCTATACAGCTGGTCATTAACAGTGTAACAAATAACCTCCTCAACTTATCTCCAGAAGCCCAATGACTTGCTTCCTCTATTGCGTCGATATATTCTTTGTCATCATCAACTAAGCCTCTAGCATAACACGCATCGCGGAATGAATCATATTGCACACCATTCACAACCTTTATATCAGAAAAAGATGTAGGACCACGAACTTTATTCAACAAACATCTTAAATAAAAAATTTCACCAGTGCTAGGTGGGACGTAAAAAATCCTTCCTATTGCGAATCCTTTTTTCCTTGGCTGCCATTTTCGTAGTTGTTTCTTCCACACAAATTTCGTTGGCATCAGAGCATAAGTCATCTTTCTTACCTCTGGAAATGTCTTGTTAGCCTCAAACCATTCCAAGAACATGCTTTGTCCTATAGTTGGTCTATTGACAATGTTGTCAACTAGATCGTCATCTGCAAAAATCACACTTTGTTGATTGGGTAAGTGAAAGCTTAACCTTTCCACTGATGGAGCCCTAAGCTGTATATCAAAGCCAAACAACCGACATACAGCCTCGCAGGGAGAAATGTACCTACAGTCATAGTACATATTAATCTCATCTACAGATTTTCCAACATCTGAATCATTGCTTGTTTTGTAGAACTCGGCTGTTACCCGGTCGTGTCCCTTATTGACATATTTGAAAAGGTACTTGATTGAACGGGACTGGTTGCACCACTAAACATTTATATGAGCCTTGTATTTAAGTAATAAATGTCTGTTGTGCGGTACAACATACCTGTTGTCTAAGGCAATGCCATTCTTTGTTATTGTCCTTCCATTTTCTCGACGTCTATATAAGGGATACCCATCATCATCAAAAGTAGTACATTCCAAAAATTTTTTGGGAAAATATTTGGAACATCTTCCTTTCACCATACACGGAGAATTCAGTCTAGCTTTTCCGCATGGCCCATGCATCATAAATTCCTCAACAGCTTTGTAGTATTCTACATAGAGCTGTCAAAACGGACTTAACCCGCCAGGTAAGCCCGCCCCGCCCCGCGAAAAGGGCGGGGCGGGCTTTGATATTTTACTCCCGTATTTTGACGGGCTTTTTTACCCGCCCCACCTAACCCGCGGGCTTTGGCGGGGCCGGCCCGCCAAGCCCGCCAAATGTAAAAAAAAGAAAAAGAATTATAATAAATAATTTCTATAATAGTATATATATATATATATATATATATATATATATATATATATATATATATATATATATATATATATATATATATATATATATATATATAATCAAGTTAAAAAAATTAGTACATTGTATAAATGATTCGTTATTAATTTATGGATTAACACATGCATTATGTATTTGATTATTTGTTATTTATTATTGTGTTTTAAAAAGTAAAAATGCATTAATATATGTTTAAACTATACAAATTATTTTAGTGTACACTTATTACGTTTTTATATTAATATAATTTTTATTTAATATTAAAATTTTTAACATATGGCGGGCCCCTGCCAAGGCCCGCGGGCTTAAGGCGGGGCGGGCCAACCTCCCCTAGGCCCGTATTTTGGCGGGCTTTTTAGCCCGCCCCTGCCATATGGCGGGCTTTGGCGGCCCCGCCCTGCCGGCCCGTTTCGACAGCTCTAATTCTACATCTATATTTTGATCAGGTATCTCAGCTGATATTATTTTGTCCAAAGCTCCAAGTTGACTAACTTCATTTCTTTTGTCCAAGAAGAGCAATATATGCGCATGAGGGAGGCCTCTTTTTTGGAACTCAATGGTATATATAACTGTGAAGTAAATAATGAATATATTTTAGGAAAAACAATCTTAACAGGATGATATAGTAAAAAAAAAAATTGTACAGGGGTTTACCTCCAGCAACCGATCCAAACAGTTGCTTCTTTCTACAATCGGCTATCAAGGAATCGAGCTTCATCTTAAATAACTTGCAAATTATGTCAGGACGGTCTTCAGCTTTCAAACAACGGTCGTTAAGGAAACGTTGCACCTCAGGCCACTTTGGGTTGCAGGTAAAAGTTATAAATAAATCCGGATATCCAATCCATATACAAATAGCCATCGCATCGTGGTAGTTCTGTATCATGTACCTTGCTCCGCCAGTGAAACTCGATGGTAAAATTATCCTACGGCCCTGAGTTGCTGGATTTATTTCACCCCGAGTTAAAGCATCTGTCAACCCACTATATGATTCACAACGTAAGCTTTTTGGTGTGTCCTTATATAGATGAGTCTTCCTGACTCAACCATTGTATATCCGTCAACAACAAATTGTTGGAATAACCTCTTCGCATGTAGTATTGTACTGACAACCTCTTTTCTTGATTGTAAGCGATAACAAAAAAATTCCCTTGGACTAATCCTTTGTCTTTCGCCAGCACCACAGTTGCCCTTTGTTAGGAATATATTGTAAATTTTGATGAGTCGAATGTATGTTTGAAAAATCAAGTAGTCCCCAATTTTATTCTATTTGAGTCAGTCCTTGTCTACGGAGTATGGTGCACCAATATCATGCAACCCAAGTACAAGTCTGGAAAATCATATTTTGATTTTAGATGTTAAGCGGGATTATAGCTTAACACAATTATGTTGCGGAGAAGTCACCAAGAACCATGTTAGAGGAGTTGGAAGATACGCGTGTGAGCAAAGCCAAGTGATCCTTAGTTCGAATCTCAAGTGAAGCAATTTTTAAGCTTGCTTTGGAGACTAGCCTGGACCGTATGAGAGACTAGCTTGGACCGTATGGGAGCTTGCTTTGGAGACTAGCCTGGACCGTATGGGAGACTAGCCTGGACCGTATGAGAGACTAGCTCAATGTATACGAAGACCGTATGGGAGACTAGCTTGGACCGTATAACCGTATGGGAGACTAGCTTGAAGAGTATGAGAGACTAGCTCCAAGTATACAAAACCGTATGGAGACTAGCTTGAAAAAGAGACGAGCTAAAATAGAGACTAGCTAGAATGGAGACTAGCTAAGGAGAGACTAGCTAGAATGGAGACTAGCTAAGGAGAGACTAGCTAGAATGGAGACTAGCCAAGGAGAGACTAGCTAAGGAAAATGCACAAGTCTCACAGAAGCCATGCACCATATGGAGAAACATACCAAGTATGGTGGACTAAGCTTGAAATTCGAAACAGAGCATCTCACCATGAACAACAGTGAAGTTTTTACAGAGGTTCCAGTATATTATTTCACAAGGATCATGAAGGAGAAAATATCTGATATATATATTTTCATCTGAACATCAAGTTTTTACGATGGAACCGGAGACGCTCGAAGAAGGCTGATTTGCGGAGAAATAATTTTATACTCAAGCAAGAATCAACAGTTAAATTATTTGATCAACTTGACATGTCAGAGCATTTATGAAGGAGAAGAAAATCAAGCACGCCGCGCCGAACTTATTCAAATTTTGGAGGCTACACAATTCAAGACACTGCAACGGGCAATTTATTCAAATCATCTGACAAAAAGGAGAAATGACATCTACCTACAATTGCAGATCAAGTTGACAAAATTATCAGATCAACTACAATTCAAAATGGACGATCAAGATCGAAAGTTGATCAACGGGCAAATAGCTTTTCACTAGCTATAAATTGTCCAAGCAGACTTGAAGACAAGTAGAGATTGAATGACTTGAATCACGAACAAGAGCAGTATATCCAATCAATCATCAAGTCATGTATTGAGCTATACACGATAAAATTCAAGTCTGAGTGAGAGAGAAATTTTATTTCTTTGTAATATTCTCTACTGAGTGTAGAAAGAGGGTGGAGTAACTAGAGAGAGTGAAAAACCCTAGTTGAGTGTAGCTTTGTGCGTAGCACTCGTGGTGAAGGGCAGAGTAACAAGAGGAGCTTGTGAAAACCCTTGGAGGACGTAGCTTTGTGCGTAGTTCTCGTGGTGTAGGAGTACAGCTTTGTGCGAAGTACTCGGTGAGGCGGAGTAACAAGAGGAGCTTGCGAAAAACCTTGGAGGAGTGTAGCTTTGTGCGAAGCACTCGGAGAAGTGTCGTTGGGCACTTATTCACTATTGTATCTGGGTGATCGAAGAATAGTGAATTTCCTCCTTGAAGTGAAAGGAGAAGAGTGGACTAGGAGGATTACACCACCTCTGAACCACTATAAATCTCTCTCTCTATTTACTTACTGCTCATATATTTTGTGCATGCTTATTCTAACTGCGAACTAACCCGATTACGATTTATCGCGTATCTTTATCTGTCTGGGTTTGATAGTTCCCACGTTTGCATGCGAGCCAAACTTTACGAACATCATCCTTGAACCATATCAAGTGTTTCTAACGTGTTGCATGTTTAGAATATTTCTTTGAACACCGCACTAATTAAGCATAACACTTTACCGTCACTTATTCCGCTGCACACTCTAAGTTGCTTATCTTGTTAATGCTTGTTACTTAGAGTTGAAATTACCAAAGTGTTATTTGCCTTGTGTATTTTGCGAAAGAATTCGAAAAGTTAGAGAAGTCTATTCACCCCCCCCCCCCCTCTAGACTTCTCGCCACCCTTTCGGGACCAACAAGTGGTATCAGAGCGGTTGTCTATTTGAGTCAATTTTGACTGCTAGATAGATCTCAAAATCTTCAAGATAAAGAGAGATATGGCTCTTGCTCAAAATTTGCTTTTCTCACTTGATAAATTTGATGATTGGAAAATACGTATGCAGGTGCACTTATCTGCGTTAAATGATGAAATGTGGGAAGTCATCGCAAATGGTCCTATCCAAATTATGGAAGCTAATACTGCTACTCCACGAGATCCAGATGCTCCACGATATATTCCAAAGCCAAAAATGGAGTGGACAAAGGAAGATAGAGGGCGAAATAATTTGGACAACATTGCCAAAGATATTTTATTCAAAGCGGTCGATGACACCATATTCCCAAAGATTCGAAAGTGCACTACGGCAAAGCAAATATGGGATACGCTCATAAGCATTGATGAAGGCGACGAACAAGAAAAAGACAACAAGCTAACCATCGCCATGAAAAGATTTGAAGATTTCAAAATGCTTTCTAACGAAAGTATTACCGACATGGAAGCACGCTTAGTCAAGATTCTTGGTGAAATAAGTGATCTTGGAAAAACCATCTCCCAGAAGGAAATATCACTCAAAGTCTTGCGTGGATTACCTTCTAACTGGGATATGAAAGTAACAGCGATGCGAGATCATAGAGATCTAAGGACATTATCTACGGATAAACTCTTTAGTGATCTTAAGGCGTATGAGTTCGAAATGAAGACACGAATCGAGGAAGAACGTGATGAACGAACATCCGCATTGATGGCCGATCAACCGTCTACATCAAGGTCAGTAGGAAATAATGATTTTTTATCTGACGAACAATTTTCTCTATTTGTTAGAAAATTCAGGAAGTTCATGCGAAAGAACAAAGGATCACCACAAGCAAGTTTCTTTCGAGAAAATAGAAGATCAAGAAAGGAACCGATCGAAGATAACACAAATGTGTGTTATAATTGTAGAAAGCCTGGACATTTTATGGCAGAATGTCCACACCCCAAGGTAAGCAAAAATTCGAATGCTACTAACCCTTCACAGGAAGAATACAAGTCAAAGGAAAAGAGATTCAAGAAGGACAAACGAAAGGCGTTGATAAGTGATCCGCTAGAAACAAGTGAATCTGGAGATTCATCTAGTGATGAAAGTGATTCCTCACAAGAAGATACGGCGCTACTGTGCTTAGTTGGAAAATCATTCGAACATAAAGAATGTTTAATGGCGCGCGAAATCGACGAAGAGGAAATTTGGTATTTCGATAGCGGTTGCTCTCGACATATGACCGGCAATAAAGCTAGTCTAGTTGAGTTCAAAAGTATCGAAGGACCAAAAGTAGTTTTCGGTGGAAACGATCGATATGGAATGACAAAAGGAACCGGCGCAATTGTGAAAAATGGTCTACGAATTGATGACGTATCTTATGTCGAAGGATTAAAATTTAACTTGTTTAGTACAAGTCAATTTTGCGACAAAGGATATCTCGTAGAATTTTACAAAGGCAAATGTCAAGTCAAGGACGAATCTACGAATGAAGTCGTACTAGCCGGATCAAGAAAGAAAAACATGTATGTAGTGGATTGGAGTACAACGAAGGAATCCGTATGCTTGATGGCAAATAATTCGAATGAAGTTTGTTGGGAATGGCACAGAAGGCTAAATCATTTGAATTTCAAAACCATCAACAAGCTTGCAAGAAATAATATAGTCGAAGGACTACCCAACATTGTGTTCAAGAAAAATCAAATTTGTGATGCATGCCAGAAAGGAAAACAAATCAAAGCATCATTCAAAGTCAAAGCTCAAGAGTCAACATCAAGACCCTTAAGTCTACTGCACATGGATTTATTTGGTCCAGTAGACCCAGTAAGTATAAGTGGTAAGAAATATACTTTGGTTGTTGTTGATGACTTTTCTAGGTACACATGGACAATATTCATCAAGAAAAAGGATGAAGTCTTATCAAAGTTGCCAGAGCTATTGAAGCTACTGCAAGTCGAAAAAGACATGAAGATTGCAACAATACGAACCGATCGAGGAACAGAGTTCGTGAACAGAGTAATTCAATCTTATTGCAATTCACAAGGAATTTTACATCAATTATCTGCCGCACGAACGCCGCAACAAAATGGTGTAGCTGAAAGAAGAAATCGAACGCTCAAAGAAGCCGCACGAGTCATGATAACGGCCGCCGAACTACCAAAGAGATTTTGGGCAGAAGCTATCAACACGGCGTGTTATACTCAAAATCGAAGTCTAATCCACAAGTCCTATAACAAAACACCATATGAATTATGGAAAGGGAGAAAACCCAATCTCACCTATTTTCATACATTTGGTTGTAAATGTTTTGTACTTGTTAATGGAAAGTCTCAATTAAAGACTTTTGACGAACGGGCGAACGAAGGAATATTTTTGGGATATTCATCCACCAGCAAAGCGTACAGAATATTCAACAAATCAACAATGGTGGTAGAAGAATCAATTCATGTTGTGTTCGACGAGAATCACGACAAAAAT